CTCCCTTCAACCTCTGTTTTCCTTCCTTATTTACAGAAGCCCTATTTCCATTTTTTCTTTCTTTTCTCATTTTTTTCTTTTTCCTTCCTTCCTTTCCCCTTCCCCCCTTTCTAGTTCCTCCTTCATTTTGAGCAACTTTTTCCTGTTTCACATTGTCTATTATACATTTTGGTTCCTATTTGTACTTTCAATTTCTTATATCAGAGTCAATGTAATATTTACACACATGCATCCAATTTATTTTACATAAGAGTGTAACTTCAAGGTGCATCCATTTACCTATAAATGCCTCAAGTCTATCCTTCTTTATGGCTGAGTAGTACTCCATGGTATAGAAAAACCACATCTAAAAGATTTAGGTGCAAAAGATATTATAAATGTTTTGTTTGGTTTGGTTTTCAATGACAATTTGATTTTTAGAAGGTAAAGATAAAACACCATTATTTCTTTTTTGTGGCACTGGGTATTAAACCCAGGGTCTTAGCCATGCTAGGCAAGTGCTCTACCACTGAGCTACAGCTCAAGTTCAGTATAATGTTTAAGTAAGAATACAAAAGTGTCTAGGTTATTCAGAAATGCAAAGCTTTTGTTGGTCTTCTACTGTAGGAGAATAATCATGAACCTAATAAAGTCAGAACAAAGTGTTTTGTTGTGAGATATGGAATTTAGCTATCTGTTCAAGTTACATAAAAAATGTAATGATAGGGCCGGGGATTTAGCTCAGTGGTTCCACCGCCTGCCTCGCAAGTGCAAGGACCTGAGTTCGATCCCCAGTTCCAAAAAAAAAAAATGTGATGATAGGGTGAACAATGATTTCCCAAAGATATTCAATATTTCATCTGTGGAGCTTTTAAATCTTTCTTTATATGGCTGTTATGATTTGAATGTGTCCCCCCAAAAGTATGTGTTGTAAACTTAATGCTCAGTAAAACAGTGAGAGGATGGGGAGGTTAATGAGAGGCGATTAGGTCATGTGGCTTCATCATCATGAATGGATTAATGCCATTCCTAAAAAGAGTCAAATATAATCCTTTGCAGCACCAGGGATTTAGCTCAGTGGTTCTGCTGCCTGCCTTGCAAGCACAAGGTCCTGAGTTTGATCCCTGGTACTGAAAAAAACCCAAAAAACATAATCCTTTGCATTCCCTGAGTCTTTGTCTTTCTGCCAGGGGAATATGCAGCAAGAAAACTTTCATCATATTCTAGCCCCTTTATCTTGAACTTTACATCCACCATAATTGTAAGCCAATAAATTTCTGTTCATAATAAATTAATCTGTGGTATTTTGTCTTAGCATCACAAAATGGAGGAAGAAAATGGTAAAATGAATTTTTCAGATGTGTACATTATTGTGCACTGGGCCCTTTTAAAAGTTTAATTTGGTTTTGTTTGAGACAGTGTCTCACTATGTAATTTAGGCTGGCCTCAAACTCACAGTTCTGCCTCAACTTCTTGAGTTCTGAGATTACAGGTGTGCAGTACCATGCCCAGCTCTCAAGTAGGCTCTTAATGTAATCACAAGTGTCTTTATGATAAGAGGCAGCCTAGGGCAGTTTTTTTTTTCTTTTTTGGTGGCACTGGGGATTGAACTCAGGTCCTTCACACTGAGCCATATCCCCAGCCACTTTTAATTTTAGTTTTTTGAAACAGTCTCTAAATTGCCCAGACTGGACTTGAACTTTCAGTCTGCCTGCTCCAGGATCACAGAGTACTAGTGTAACAGGAATTAGTGAGACAGGAGTTAGGATTCTGTTAGACAGTAAGAACAGTGGCCCCAAAATGGAGTCAGGAAGCCTAAAATGGAGTCTGGTGAGTCTCTGCCCTCTAAGGATCTTACAAAAGTATCTGCCAGGTGGCCGGGGATTTAGTTCAGTGATTCCAGCACCTGCCTCGAAAGTGCAAGGTCTTGAGTTTGATCCCCGGTACCAAAAAAAAAAAAAAAGTATCTGCCAGGTGTCCTTCAACTATCTGTAACCTCCCCAGAGCATCATCAGGCAGGCTGTTGACTCAAAGGTGCATGAACACTGCATAGATTGGACCCTGAAAACTATGCAGTCTCCTATAGATAGGGATTATATTGCTTACATAATGGCCTGAGCTCCCTTCTAAACCCTAGACAAAAATTCCTAGACAGCCTTCTTGGGCATCCTACTCATGACCTCCTCCCAGCTAGCAGGAGCTTTACTTCTGTACCATTTTATCTTTTACTTTCTTGCCTTTATATCTTTTATTTTGTTTTGTTTTTTTGTTTTTTGTTTTGGTACCGGGGATCGAATTCAGGACCTTGCGCTTGCGAGGCAGGCAGCGAAACCACTGAGCTAAATCCCCTGCTTGCCTTTATATCTTTTAAATAAATTTGTTTGCACCTTTTCATCATGCGACATGACTCCAGCATTCTGGTAGGACTGGGATTACAGAATTGTGGTGCCATGCCTGCATTTTAGGACATTTTTGATTATAAAAACAGATAATGTGAGACCTGAAGCAAAAATGCTACACTGCTGGCTTTAGTTGTTCATTAGTGAATGTTTGCAATACATAATAAATACATTCATCATGGGGAATTTGAGCATAGACATATTGCATCTTAATCCCTTTTATACTGTGGACTTAGCAGGAAGGAAAAGCAAGGCCACATAATGCAAGCAATTCAGCTCTAGAAGTTGGAAGATACCAGGAAACAGATCTTCCACAAGAGCCTCCAGAGGGAGTATGGACCTGTCAACATGTAAATCAGTTTTCCAATGAAACTGATCTCAGACTTCTGACATCCCTACTGAGAGATAATAAATATGTGTTGTTTTAAGCCACTAGGTTTCTGATAATTTGTTGCATCAGCCATAGGAAATGATGTAGAATAACATTAAACAACCTTTTAAAATATTTATTAATTTAATGAAGTACTGGGTCTTCTCACTCACCCAGGCCTTTTCTTTCTTTCTTTCTTTTTTTTTCATTAAGTTTATGGGTACATTTTAGGTATAAAATACATTTACATTTATCTTTGGGTGCTTGTACCTGTACATGATGTATCTTGGTTCTTATTTTTTCCCCATTACCTGTGCGCCCTTCACCCCTAAACCCTTCCCTATTTACGTACTTCGTTTCCATTTTTTTTTCTTTTCTCATAATTTTTCCTTTCCATTCTTTCCTTTCCCCCTCCCCTCCCACCACCCCTATCCCTTTGGACCTTTTCCTATTTCAAAGTATCAATCATTAGTTTTGTTTTTGTTTTTTTGGATCCAGAGATCAAACTCGGGTCTTTGCGCTTGTGCAGCATGCGACGAAACCACTGAGCTAAATCCCCAGCCCACAAGTATCAATCATTAGTTATTAATCCTTTTATTTCTTATTTACACTCTCAGTTTCTCACATTAGAGAAACTATTTGGTATTTACACATGTGTGTCTTATTTATTTCACTTAAGAGTAGGGCCTCAATATGCATCCATTTAGCTATAAATGACTCTGGTTTCTCATTCTTTATGGCTGAGTAGTACTCCATTTTATAAAAAAAACCACATCTTCTTTATCCAGTTTCCAGTTGATGTGCACTTGGGCTGTTTCCAAGCTTTAGCTATTACAAACTGTACCCAGGCCTTTTCTTATTTTGTACAGTATTGTGAGACAGCATCTCACTAAATCCTAAATTGCCCAGGCTTGGTTCCAACTTAAAATCTTCCTGCTTCAGCCTCCTAGAGTGAGGGATCACAGGTATGCATCATCATCCCAGGCATTAATTTATTTATAGAGAGGATATTGATAAGTAATCCAGGCCAGCCTTCAGCTTACTATGTAACCCAGATTGGCCTCAAGCTTAAGGTGATCCTCCTGCCTCAGCCTCCTGATTGCTGGGATTACAGGCCTGTGCCACCATGCCTGGCTTTTAACACCTTTTAAAAGCAGAACAAGCCAGGCATGGTGAGCACAGACCTGTAATCCCAGCAATCAGGAGGCTGAGCCAGGAGAATTGCTGCAAATACAAAGCCAGCCTGGGCTCCATAGAGATCAAGGCCAACCTGAACTACATAGTGAGACCCTGTCTTAAAAAAATAACTATTAGCTGGGGACTTAGCTCAGTGGTTTTGCTGCCTGCTGTGCAAGCCCAAGGACCCAAGTTAGATCCCCCGTACCAAAAAAAAAAAAAAAACTATTAAAAATAAAATCAGACCAATACTCTGAGAACACTTGTCATTTTCACAGAGAACAGCCAATATTCTAAGTTTGTTGGAATATAGTATTTGATTCTGTCCTTTATGAATAATTTCATCAAACATGCATCAGATTTGGAAAATTTTATAAATTTTTTTGTTCTATTAGTGTCTCTTTCTATAACTTTCTCTATCCAAATATGTTTTTTTCCAGCATATTTGTTCCCGTTGCGCAGCAGTCATTTTGTTCATAACAGAAACACTTTTTTTTTTTTTTGGTACCGGGGATCGAACTCGGGTCCTTGTGCTTGCGCAGCAGGCAGCAAAACCACTGAGCTAAATCCCCGGCCCCTAAAAACACTTCTTTTTGTCTCTAATGGAAAAAATACATTTTATTATTTTGCAATGGCTTAGATAATCTCATTCATATATAGTGATTGTAAATATTAAGCAAAGTCATTTTTATTTGATAGAGAGCTGTGTGTGGTGGTGCTCTTCTGTAATTCCAGCACTTTGGAGGCTGAGGCAGGAAGACTGCCTTGGGTTCGAAGCCAACTTGGGCAACTCTGTGAGTTGATGACTAGCCTGAAGTACATAGTAAGATCCTCTATCAACAAACAAAAGTGCAGAAAAATTGGAGATGGAAATTGCAAAATCTATGTTATTTTAGCAGACAAAAGCTCATGAACACATATATCCCTGCCTTATATCCACCCATTATACACTTTTGAAGTATATAACTGTTGTACAGTTTCTCAACATGCAAAAAATGAAAGTGATTATTGATGAATCAATCTTTGTTTCTTTCCTTCTTCCTTCTTTCTTTCTTTCTTTCTTTGCTTGATTTCAGTGCTGGACAATGGACTCACAGCCCAATACACACTAGGTAAGTGCTCTACCACTAAGCTATACACCAAGTGCTCTGAATAAAAAATATCTAGAATATAAATTATGAGGTATGTATTACATATAATTTAGATGTATTGTATATCTTCTATTATATATATTAGAAGCAAAATGTTAAGTGTCTATTATATATATTATAAATGTTAATATATAAACATTGCTGTGCAAACTAGTTTATATATGACTTTATATATAAAATATATATTGTCTATTTTAAGTATATTATATAAAAATGCATAATATACAAGCATACAATACACATAAAAGATACTATTAGGCCTAATAAATACATATAATGAAATATGAAACAAATATCACATGTAATTTTACATCAAAATTTTATATTTCATGAAATTTATGTAAGATGACTTCATAGGTAAAATACAGTTACATATATATAATAAATAAAATAGCTACATTGAAATATAGTGTAATGGGGCTGGGGATTTAGCTCAGTGGTTCTGTCGCCTACCTCACAAGTGCAAGGTCCCAAGTTCGATCCCCAGTACCAAAAAAAAAGAAATATAGTGTAATAAAACACCATTATTTAAATGAATTATTATATATAATTAGATAATTTCTATTATAAATAATATGTAATATATAGCACATGAAGTTAAATATGATTTATATTTTGTATAAAGTTAATATCCATAATTAGAGATTTTGCAATCTGAATATTACACTAG